TTTTAGTATAAAGTCTATTGCAGCACCACCAAATTTCTACTTTAATCCTATAAAAGGATTTTTTATTCCGTTCAGTAAATTCGGAAATTTATATTGATCTGCAAAGTCCCGACAATTTGACCACTCGAGCATCCTTTTAAACATTTGTTAATAAATATCTAATTTGACGGTTGGCACCCCAAGTTAAAAAAAATTTACTTTCATCACGAAATTTTCTTGTTTTCGAAGAATTCTACAGTTCTTGATGAGGTTTTGGTGAAATTTTCGGCCTCTTTTTAAACTGCGTTTCGCGGATTATCTCCATGTTCAAATTCATCCTTAGAATGCCCTTTACTCTTGTGGTGAGGTGCCATCGCTCTGATTGAAAAATTGTTTGAAAATACGTAGGCCGGTATTCATAGTCAGCTCTTATTTTAAGATCGTCTTAAGTAATGTCTTAAGTCGCTAATGCGGCCCTCTGATTGGTTCATGACATCATAAGACTGTACTTAAGACGGTCTTCAATATAAGATCTGACTATGAATACCGACCTTATAGGCCGGAACTATCGCTAAATCTATCAGGAACTGTCGAACTATTGTGGACGCAAACGGAACTGTGTATAAAATTTTGAATTTTTCAAAATAAGGTGCTAACTTCACGCCGGTGCAGAATTAAATATCTGGTTTTCAAATTGATTTTTTTATAATACTCGTAATTTTATTCCTCTTTTTATGACCGATGCCGAGTATCGTATCTTTTTTATCGATTAATTTTATATGTTTATCATTTTTGATTACCTACTAACGATATTTAATTGCATTGAAATATTATCAATTGTTTAGCAATCGCGATTACATCATTCCAAGAAAAGATCATAAGATTAAAATCTGTCAGTTTAAGACAGAAGTATCACGATTTCATATCCGCAAGTTAAGCTAGCTATTTCTTATTGAAAATTTACTTTTCGCAAATTAATCCATTACGTATATTCTATTCCAAATATATTTTAATATAACTATCTTTACAACATGAAATATTACAACAATATTACTTTAAAAGGTTGTAATATTTTATAAAACTTTGTTGCAATATTGCTATGTCTGCTAAAGTAAAATACTACTGCAATATTGCTGCTATGTTTAGAGAAATGTTGCAAATATATGTTTGCTGCAATATTTCAATAATCAATTCAGTTTTATTGTTAATATATTGATTAGCATCATATTCCAATACACAGGACAAAGTTATAATGTAGCACAGAGATTAAACAAATAATCTCTCTCTCTCAGGAAATATAATATTCTTTTAATTAAGGAATTTTAATTCGATATCTATGAAACATTAATTATATTTATTAGTTATTGCTTCAAGAGATTGAATTATGTTGGAGCTAGAATAATTGTCACAATTGTTTGTATTCGAAAAGAAATATGAATGAAAAATCTTCGCGACGAAGTAACGGATCTCATTTTTTAATTAATTTGCAGCAAACCTGATGCTATTATACTAGTCGTATTATTAGAAAAATATATGTTCTTTCACGATGTAATTCCCATTTTAAACACGAAAACAATTATTTATATTTCTAGTGTAATAAAATCGAGATGATTTTGTTAATGATAAAGTTATTAAAACGGTGATGGATGCGAACTTCCTGTTACTGGGTCTCTAAATCGCATTATTTCCAGACAGTTAGCCTCGCATGCAAGTTTTCCATATGTTGCGCTTGTTTCGCAACACCGTTTGTTGCATTATGTATTTAGCAGCGCCTACAATTTTCGCCAACCTTCCTGTCGTTCGCCAATGTCGGGAATTCCCGGGTGTCTCATTTTCCGTAATTATCGTGTCACGCCTTGCACGTACTTATCATATATACTATCTTCGCGATTGCGACCCTTGATGCGCAAATTTTCAACGTTGCTTTGACATCTAGTCTCATGTTCATCAATAAGCTCGCATTGAATTCAGTACTTTTTTTCCCGTGATTCTTTGTGTATCTCTGAGATTGTATAAAGAAAGAAAATGAAATTACGTATATAAAAAAAAACCTCGTGTATAATTAACGGATATGATTAATGACGGATATAATAAAAAACAATTTTAGAAAGATTTTTTAAACTTTTAAAATGCGCTTGCTGACTCAGACTTTATTTTGCGCAAACACGATAGCCTTCGACAAATATACGTAATTTCGAGCAGAAATTCGGTTCTGAGAATTTTTATATTAGTTGGTTGTTATTAGTTGCTTTCCATTTATACACAAATGAGTCTGAAATGAGCTGAGTATTTTATACTCAGATTAATGACATCACTATTTGCTTACTTTGGTAAAAAGTTATCACATGACAACTCAGGTTCACAACCTCACTTTGAAGTGAATTTACGAGACTCACTGAAGTGCACAGTCTTGATTTTGTGCAGATTGTAGATAAAGGATGCCTTCCAACAAGAGACACACACGGTATGACACGGTAGATTATTACGTCCTTGTTGTTCGCCAATGTTAAACAAGGATGAGATGATCACTGTGTTGTACCGACTAGCTTGTTGGAAAGCACCCAAAAACTCAGTTAAATTTTACTTGTCAGAATGCAAAAGGAACGCGCATTCAACTGACGTCACAAATGAGAATTATTCGAAAATCGGTGTAAATGAAAGCAACTATAGATACAATGATGTCATCTTGACACGTGGGTGTGTGTATACATATATACATATACACTGACACAGCATACATAATTTCAATTACCTTGCAATTGATATAAATTTGCGATTATTAACATAAATATTTGGATAATATATCATTAAATTCTTGATTTTTTATTATATAAATATTCTATAAACAAGTATGCGTACTCATAATGCTATAATATCTTATATATTGCTGCAAAATTACAATTTTTTTCTCTACAGTTATTCTCTTTTGTGATAATAATCAAACTCGAATGATAATATTAAAATCATAATTATTATTATTACTACTTTTCCCTTACAGAGTCCCTTTTCCTTTTTGCTCTTTTTTCCTTTTTTTACTCAGCTTTTTTTTTAGACATTGTCCTGAAATCTGGAAAATATCGGATATCCGACTCGAAAAATTTCCTTCCTGGATATCCGATAATTTTACAATCCGGTGCATTCCTAATTTTCATGAAGAATGATTTTCCATACTGCTCTTATTCTTATTTTCTCATTCACTATTATTATCAAGAGTATCTTACGACGGAGTGTTAGTCATTCGGAAAAACTAGGATGGAAATTATTAAAGGTTAAATCGATTGGATGAACGCACTTAAAACTGTCCACGTTTTGCTTACATAGTCTAAATGCGTTAGTTCACTTGCGGCGATCTCAAGATCGATCATAACACATATCATAGCTACGTGTAAAAATAATGCGCACACGTACGATATTTCAAGGACGATTTCCAGATATGTGGAACTGTTCATTGTGTATCAATGATTGTACGCTATATCCCTACTGAAAAAAATCACGTTGCAAAGTTACATAACGAAAACATGTAAGTTGAGACAAGTAAATCACGTAACGGATTGTTCCAAATCACAGCACGAGATTTTTAAAATCACGTAATTTGAAAAGTCATATGATGATGTTTTTTTTCTATTTTTATCATTCAATTCCTTAAAATTCGATAACTGTAAAATTACATGATGGATGAAATTATTTCTAATATCATGTGACTTTTTTAATTATATGATTTAAAAAGATCACGTATTGATTTGGAACAATCTGTTACGTCATTTACTTATCTTAATTATATCTTAATTATAATTTCGTTATGTAACTTTGTGACGAGATTTTTTTTCAGTAGGAATCTTTACTCTATTTCTATTCTCAAAGTACATTAGATAAATTAAATTTTATTTACTAAATTTTTGACCTATCGCGAATATGATTTTTGATGGTGG